ACCTGGCGCGACTCCCGTGCTTTCGACCCCTATTTGGGGCCCTGGGTGGCTACTGGAGGGCCTTGCAGAGGGGCAGAGAAGGCAGGACCATGGCATCTAGGGCCTCTGAACCTCCCTCAGGGCGCAGCGTGACGGCGGGCATCATCATTGTTGGAGATGAGATCCTCAAGGTGCGTCTGGGACAGAAGGGGGGTGTGTGGCGTGCTCCTGTCCTTAAGATCCTGCTGCACGATCTGTTGAGGGAAGGCAGGCCAGGGCGGGAGCCCCCTTGCTGCCGTGGAGTCCTGGAGTGAGCCCAGCATGTTAGAGGGAAAGTGACCCTTGTGCTTTCCATCACTCTGTTGAAAACTTGTAGCAAGGTGGCTTCAGTTTGTCCAGCAACTTGATAGGAGTAGGAGGGGCTTCACAGAAATGACGGGGAGTCCGACTTGTGAAGGGGGTACAGGTGTATGTGTTATTGAAGAGTTACAGCCAGCCTGTTTGGAAAATGACCCAAGGCACTTGGCAGAGTGAGTAAGCGAAATAGAAGGAAACTACTGGACGGAAGAAATCCGTCGGATTCTTCTGAGCAATCGAGGGAAATCTTGTTAAAGGTCGTGGTAGGCATCGGGTTTGAGGTAGTGATCTTGACCCCTCCTTTTTGAGTGCTTACTAGGGCCCGCGACTGTGCTTCTAGATCACATGTGCGGTTTTACTAACCCTTAGAACAATCCCCTGAGGTTCAATACTTTTATTATAAATGTCGATTAATAGATTATGAGACCGAGAAGCTAGCTTGTCCAAGGTTCCATAGCCAGGAGGTGGTAGAGGGGGGATTCCAACCTGAGTCCCTCTTACTCCAAGTAACCCTTGTCCGCTAAGCCCTCTGGAGAGAAGTCGAAGGAGAAGGGGCTGCAAAGGAAGATCGTGTGCACACCGCAGGCAGCCTCAAATGTTCTGCAAAGGAATGTGAACTTTATTCTGTATATGTTTGGAAACAACACAGGGCTTTTGAGCCCAAGAGTGATGCAATCCCAGTAACACATTAGAAAGGTTAGTCAGAAGGCACTGGGCAGAGCGCTGGGGCTGGCGGCCGGGAGCCTGGCCAGGGGGCCTCGACAATGTCCAGATGACAGGTGCCAAGGACCTGCCCGGCGGCAGTAGGGACCAAGAGGAGAGAGCAGATGGGGAGACATTTCAGTACACTTGACGGTAGGAGGGCCTCACTGGCAGTGGACAGTGTCTGGGGAGGCCACTGGCCAAAGTGACAACGGCCAGGAATATGGCAGAGATGCCCGATAGGTAGGCGGAGCCAGGGAGCTGAAACCGTCAGGGTTGGGGAGGAAGTGGATGGGTCGTCCACATAGAATTGGCCACCGAATCCTCAGGCATAGATGAGGTCAAGGTCAAAGCACGGAGAAGGAGGCCCAAGGTGGGTCATGCGACCCCCGGCTGTTCAGCTGGATTTTCTCACCCTCGTACCCAGTCCAGGCTTTAGAGCCTCACGAGGCGGCGTCCCCCAAAAGAGCACGATGCCCCACATGGCTGTCACCCCTTGCCCTTTGCCCTCGAGTCCTGCAGCACTGACACTCTCATCGTCCCCATCTCATCTCCCAGGGACACACTCAGGACACCAACACCTACTTTCTATGCCGGACACTGCGCTCCCTGGGGGTCCAGGTGTGCCGGGTCTCTGTCGTACCCGACGAGGTGGCCACCATCGCGGCAGAGGTCACTTCTTTCTCCAGCCGCTTCACCCACGTCCTCACGGCAGGGGGCATCGGCCCCACTCACGATGATGTGACCTTTGAGGCGGTAGCACAGGCCTTCGGGGATGAGCTCAAGCCGCACCCCGAGCTGGAAGCGGCCATCCGAGCCCTCGGAGGGAAGGGCTGCGAGAAGCTGTCCGTAGTGCCCTCCTCCGCCCGCCTGCATTACGGCACAGACCCTCACACGGGCCGGCCCTTCAAGTTCCCGCTGGTCTCCGTCCGAAATGTCTACCTCTTCCCGGGCATTCCCGAGCTGCTGCGGAGGGTGCTGGAGGGGCTGAAGGGGCTGTTCCGAAACACGGCGGTGCAGTTCTACCTGCGGGAGCTGTACGTGGCCGCCGACGAGGCCTCCATCGCCCCCGTGCTGGCTGAGGCGCAGGCCCACTTTGGGCGCAGGCTCGGCCTGGGCTCCTACCCCGACTGGGGCAGCAACTACTATCGGGTGAAGCTGTCGCTGGACTCGGAGGAAGAAGGGCCGCTGGAGGAGTGCCTGGCCTACCTGACTGCCCGTCTGCCCCCGGGATCGCTGGTCCCCTACGTGCCCGACGCCGTGGGGCAGGCCAGGGAGGCTGTCTACCAGCTCGCGGAATCAGGTAGGGGCCTGGGGGGGTGGGGGCTGCACGTGCCCACCCCACCCCTGCCCAGGTCTCGGGAACGTAGGGTCTGAGAGAGGGGGGATAGCTCCGGTGCCGTCGGTCATTCTTCCAGTAAATGCCAACCGGGTGCCCGCTCCTGCCAGCACTGTGCTGGGTACTACGGACCGAGCTCAACAGGACAGTGTGTTACACGCCACGGCCTTCTGGGCCGGCAGTGTAACAAGAAAGGAAGGCGTCAGGCACGAGACGTCGGTCTAGCGGCCTCCACGGTGGGGAGGTCAGCCTTGACCTGGGCGTATGTTCGTTAAATACAGTCTGCCGGGCGAGTGTCGGACTTGTGGGCCGATGAGGAGGATTGGGCCCCACCGGGAGGTGGGTGAGGGCAAACAGGACGGGGTTTAGGGGAACGAAGGAGAGCAGGGCCCCCCGAGGGAAGACACTGAGGTGAAGGGTTCTGAATGGCAGGCCGGGACGGACCCTGAAGGGCATGTAGGACTCCGGCCTTTACTCTGGGAAGCCTGGGAAGCCTGGAGAGGCTTCAGGCCAGGGCGGTGCCCCCCCCCCCCCCACTGCCCTCTGACGGCCACGTGTACCTATCTTCTTGTCTGTCTCCTTGCAGGGTCTTCTCTGGGGGGGAAGGTGGCAGGCGCCCTGCAGACCATTGAGACCGCCCTGGCTCAGTACGACCTCAGCCACCTTTGCGTGGGCTTCAACGGAGGCAAGGACTGCACGGCCCTCCTGCACCTCTTCCACGCGGCCGTGCAGAGGTGAGCCCACGCCCCGGGGCGAAGGCAGCAAGGAGGGAGAGGGCGGCCAGGGGTGGTTTGGGAGGGAGGGAGCCGTGGTGACCTCGCCACACTCTTCCCCCGCCACATTGACGAGCATCTGACATCTGGGCGGCCCTGGGTGGACGTGTAGGCCACCGGCCCTGAGCACAGGGAGGTCACAGTCCACCCAGGAGCAGAGAGAACAGTGTGCGAGCTCTCTGGGGAGCATTGCTCTGCCAAGCCTGTGCGTCCTCCCCTCCCCAGGACACGCCCCGATACTCAGGAGCCCCTCCAGATCCTGTACATCCGCAACATCTCCCCCTTCCCCGAGCTGGAGCAGTTCCTACAGGACACCATCAAGAGGTACTGAGGGCCTGGAAGTGTGGGCTCCGGGTGCGGCTCAGCAGTGTCCGCTTCTGACCCCCGCCCCTCCCCTCCTCAGGTATAATCTGCAGGTGCTGGAGGCCGAGGGCCACATGAAGCAGGCCCTGTGTGAGCTGCAGGCCCGGCACCCCCGGCTGGAGGCCGTCCTGATGGGCACCCGCCGCACCGACCCCTACTCCTGCAGCCTCCACCCCTTCAGCCCCACGGACCCTGGCTGGCCTGCCTTCGTGCGCGTCAACCCGCTGCTGGTAACGGGGAGGGGGCCGCAGCGCCTCCCGTCTCCCGACCCCTGTCGCTCATTGCGCCCTGGCCCCCCACGTGGGAGAGGTGGGAGCCCGGGGCTCGCGTGAGGGACCCCCATCGCCCAAGGGAGGCTGTGCTGCTCGGCCGTTCAGCTTTCTGACCATTCTGTAGGGAGCACCGATTCCGTGGCGGGCTTGTGCTTTCTACCTTTAGGTCCGCACTGCCCAGAATGGCAGCCACCAGCCTCTTATCGATACTCAAATTACAACCTACTGAAATGAAAGAAAGAATGACCCCAAACCACTGAGTGGTGCGCTCCAAGTGTGACGAATTCTGTGGTGTGGGTGTTATATCTTCATTTTAAAAATTAAATACCCTTCAGAATTCGCTTCTTCAGAGGCACTGACCCCATTTCCAGCCGCGGCCACGTTAGACGGCCCAGCTGGAGACGCAGCGGGCTGCGTGGACTCCTGGACACAACCACGTCTGTCCTGGAGCACGCCGGTCCCTGGGGGCTGGCTTGGGGGCGGAGGGAGGCGGGCAAAGGTTTCCCGTTTTGCGTTGCGTGGCCGCGCCCAGCAGGCTGTGCCGGAGAATCCCAGAGAATCCCACAGGAGGCCTCCCTCAGAGCCCGGGAAGCAGAAGAGCTCTAGGCGGGCCCCTGCCCAGGCGGCAGGCCGCAGTGTGGGAGGGGGGACTTTGTGACCCCACTCTGACCCCCAGGACTGGACCTACAGAGACATCTGGGACTTCCTGCGGCAGCTGTTTGTCCCGTACTGTGTCCTATATGACCGAGGGTAAGGGTGCTGGGAGAGGACGGGTGTCGTGGGCGTGGGGACAAGGTGGGGGCGCTGCGGTGGGGAGAGCCTGCCCCGAACTCGCCTGCCTCCTCCCTGCTCCAGCTACACGTCGCTGGGGGGCCGCGAGAACACCGTGAGGAACCCGGCCCTGAAGTGCCTGAGCCCGGGGGGCCAGCCCACCTACCGGCCAGCCTACCTCCTGGAGAACGAAGACGAGGAGAGGAACTCGCGCACGTGACCCCGAGCAGCCAGAGGGAGGCCGCCCTGGGGTGTCCCCTGTCAATAAACCGCCTCTTGCGTGCCTGCTGCTCTGCCTGTGTCTTCCTGCTCCAGGGGACAGGACGGGAGAAGCAGACGTGGGCCGGGCTCTGCCAGCTCCCAGCTGGCAGTGCTCCCTCTGAGGAACAGGGGCGGTGGGGGGGGCAACGGGGGGACGTCCTGGGGGGACGTACACAGAACACTCGGCAGGAGCCCACCGGAGGGCAGGGTCAGGAGCCACGCCAGCCCCTGGGGGAGAGGCACCCCGGGCAGGACGCCGAGGTTTGGAGAGCCAGGCTGGGAGAAGGGAAGCTGGGCTGGCCTGGCTGCGGAGGACAGAAGACGGGGTGGCCGGCCCACCCCCCCTGCCCCAACCCAGCCTCCACCCCTGCCCATGGAGGCTGACTCAGCCCATTCTTGGGCCCAGAACCTTCCCTGTGCTAGACCCCGGGGCCTTTGTCCCCATAGTCATGAGGTCTGAGGGGGTGGGGACGCTGCTGATAAAAGGCCCGCGAGACAGCTCTGTGCGCCTCAGAGCTGCGGCCCATATGCAGCCCCGGACGCAGCCCCTCGCCCAGGCCCTGCCTTTCTCCTTCAGAAGGGCCCTGTGGGGCACTGGGTTCCAGGTGCCGGTCATGAAGACGGGCACAGGATGGGAGGGCCTGCAGCAGACCCTGAAGGAAGTTGCCTACATCCTCCTCTGCTGCTGGTGCATCAAGGAACTGCTGGATTGATGCCCCGGGACCGCCCCCGCCCCGCCCGCCCCTGCACCGCTCAGGTGGGCCTGGATCCACCCCTTCCCCTCCCGCGCCCCCACACCCTGCACCGCTCAGGTGGGTGGGCAGGGTCGCAGACCCAGGCGCAGGGCCACAGCTTCTGTGACAGAGCCCGCCTCCCAGCTTCCTGTTCTCTCCTCCAGCGCCGGGCCCTGCCCCCATCGAGCACCCCCCCCCCCCCGGGCCCCCACCTCCAGGCCAGCTGTGCTTGACCGACGATGGGCCACAAACAACGGGGGAAGTGTGGACCCTGCTTCGAGTTTGTGCCACGTGCCAGCCTCCGTTCCCGCCCGCACCTCTGCTGGACCTCCGGTGCAGGTGCACGGGAGCTGCCTGGCTGCTGGCCGGGACCCGGATAAGACTGCCGCGGGACCCGCACCGTGAGCCCACCGGCTTAGATGGTTGATTTTTCTGTACTCAGTGCCAGGAATGGGCTAAGGATCACGAAACTGCGTGTGCGTGCATGTGTGTGCATAAATGTATATGTATATATATATATATGTATGTATGTATATACATATACCATCTGCTGTGTGCCAATCCTGTTGCTCTGAACACATCAGTGAACAAAACAGGCCCCTGTACTCACAGAGCTTACGTTCTGCTGGGCAGAGGCAGGAAATAAGATGTAAACAAAAAATAAGGATATAGATGTTCTATATAAAATAAATAGGCCTTGAGGCCAAACGTGCTAAATGTCTAAAAGGGACTCCACACAACTCAGCACTGAAAGGGTCTTGGAGCCAGAGCCAGCGTCCAGACCAGGGAGGGAAGGAGATGGGCGCCGGGGCGGCCTGGTGGGTGGAGCGTCCGACTCAGGTCACGATCTTGCGGTTCATGGGTCCGAGACCCTCGTCAGGCTCTGTGCTAACAGCTGGGAGCTGGCTTTGGATTCTGCTGCCCCTCCCCCACTCACACTCTGCCCGCCCCCCCTCAAAAATAAACATTACAAAAAAATCATTTTTAAAGAAGGGAGGGGAGGAGGTTGTCCTGGATACAACCCACACCGAAAGCCAGGTTTTCCGACTCACTGGTTGGGGAGGGTGGAGGGTGGAAAGCCCAGGTTCCTCCCAACCGGTGGGTAGGGAGGGGTCCGGCTTGGGTGGGGTCCCGCGCCTTAAGCCAGGAACTCAAATAGAAGACGTGGCCTGGGGGCGCCTGGGTGGCGCAGTCGGTTAAGCGTCCGACTTCAGCCAGGTCGCGATCTCGCGATCTCGCGGGATCTCGTGATCTCGCGGTCCGTGAGTTCGAGCCCCGCGTCGGGCTCTGGGCTGATGGCTCGGAGCCTGGAGCCTGTTTCCGATTCTGTGCCTCCCTCTCTCTCTGCCCCTCCCCCGTTCATGCTCTGTCTCTCTCTGTCCCAAAAATAAATAAATGTTGAAAAAAAAAATTAAAAAAAAAAAAAAAAAAGAAGACGTGGCCTGGCCGGCTCCCTGCCTTGAGGATCTTGGGAGAAGCCCTGGGCCCTTGCAAGCCCCAAGCTCACGGGAAGTCGGGCCCTGCTCCCCCTGGTCACACATGAGGCCGCAAGAGAAAGGCACCCGGGTGGCCACGCAGGTTCCTCAGGCTTGTCACCGTGCACAAGCACAAACAGTCAGAATGGGCACCGCTCCCTCTCTTCCCCTCGGCAGCCGAAGCACACGCTGCCCCTGAATCACGCCCAGCAGTGGGCCCGCGTCAGCCACTGACACCATCTTGCTCACACTTCCCGACACGCCCACTCAGCCCCCCACAACCGCAGAGCCTCTTGGGGCCAGTTGTCCCCTCCCTTCCGTCCTGGGGCACAAGCCTGGAGATGGTGTGTGGGACTCTCTCCTCACCCCAGGGACCAGCTTTTCCCAGACTTCCTCTGGGTGTGTTTTGTCTCTCTTGGTAAAGGTGACCCATACCTAAAGTAAGCAGTTCTGGTGAGAAGGGACCCCCCCCCCCCACGACCACTCTCCCCGCTGGGGTGGCTCAGATTCAGCAGCCCCTGGGAGGGCATTCGGGAGAGAGTGCTGCACGCGCCTCGCCCTCCTCTTCCCTCGTTCGTGCAACAAATGTTAGGGAGCACCCGCTGTGTGCCAATCCCCGTGCTCCCGGCACCACCGCGGTGAGCAAAACAGGCCCCAGGACTCATGGAGCTTCCGTTCCAGTGGGCAGAGATAGGAAATAAAATGTAAACAAAACAATAGGAACATAGCTGTGATTAGAAGATGCGGGCTACGAGCTGGGGTGGGTGTGAGGCAGGTCGTGACGTGCCAGTGGCTCAGGGCAGGCTTAACAGCGAGAGCAGTGGAGGGAAGGGCTGGCCTGCGCGCATACACATTCCTTTTTTTTTTTTTTTTTAAGAGTTTTTCTATTTTTCAGTAATATCTGGCCCCAACATGGGGCTCGAACTCACAACCCCGAGACTGAGAATCACGCACTCTGCGGACGGAGCCAGCCGGGCACCCTGAGCCCGGAGGAATTCTCGGAGTTGCTAACATGGTCTCCACACGGCGCTGCCCCCTGGTTTTTCCCCTCCGACGAGGCAGGGACTCCGCAGGGGCACACACGGAGCCTGCTCCCTCTTTCCTGTGGCAGCGTGGTTCTCCATAGTACTCCCACTCAAGGTAGTCTTTATCCGGGTAGCTTGGCGACCTTCGGGCCTGCACTAAATGCAGGTAGGTCAGCCTTCTCACCGGGTCCCTTCAGAGCCCACCTCACCCCAGGACACAGCAGTGGGAAGAGGTAAGAGCTTGAATCCAACCAGAGAGAGGTTAGCGGTGGAGGACACAGAATTCACCTTTCCACACAAGTGTGGGGCTCCTGCCTCCCCTCACAGCCTGCACCCCTGCTTGGTCGGCCCATCCCTGACTCGAGCTCTGGCCTTCTGCCTCTCTTTCTTTCTTTCTTTCTTTCTTTCTTTCTTTCTTTCTTTCTTTCTTTCTTTTTCTAATTTTTTTGTTTGTTTGTTTACTTATTTTTGAGAGAGAGAGAGAGCATGAGCAGGGGAGGGGCAAAGAGGGAGAAGGAGATACAGAATCCAAAGCAGGCTCCAGGCTCCGAGCTGTCAGCACAGAGCCCCAGGCGGATATCGAACTCGTGATTCGTGAGATCAGGACCTGAACCGAAGTCGGACGCTTAATCCACTGAGCCATGCTGGCGTCCCCAGCATGTTTGACTTTTATATTTAGGAGGGGAAAAAACTGTTTTTCATGTTTATTTACTTTTAGAGAGATAGAGTGTGAGCAGGGGAGGGGCAGACAGAGAGGGAGACAAAGAATCAGAAGCAGAATCCAGACTCTGAGCTGTCAGCCCAGAGCCCCCCCCCTCCCTCCACGGGGTCCAACTCACGAACCCTGAGGTCATGACCTGAGCCGAACTGGGACATTTAACTGATTGAGCCTCCCAGGCGCCCCTCTCCCTTTCCTTTCTCAGACCCCACTCCCACTGAGCCACTGAGCAGGGACAGGGCCTCGGGCTGGATCCTAGAGTCAGAGTTCTGAGCACAAGCGCCCTCGACAGCGGAGGGGATGTCTGGCGAAGGCCACCAGGGAAGCGGTAGGTGTCGGAAGGCAGGGCCCAGGAAGTTGACGGAGGGAGAAGAGGAGAGACTGCGGGTGGCCCAAGAGGAGTGGCAGCCCTCAAGGGAGCCCTGAGAGTGGAACGCATGGGGGGAGGAGCGGGGAGGATAAGAAAAACCGTGTATGTCGTTCTGAGAGCCCTTGCCACACTACAGTGTTGGACACTTACACAAGCCCGCTTGAAAAGTAGGCTGGACAAGGACAACTAGCCCAGGTTAGCTTGAAAGAAACAGGCCAAGAGAGGTGACGTGACCCACTGAAGGCCAAACCCACAGTACACTGCAGTGCGGTAGTCAGCTGGCGAACCCCGATTTTCTCGTCTCATATTCGGGGCTCCTCTGGGCCAGCCAGACTTCCTCTTCTGATATTGCACTTCAGGTGGTGGCCGGGGGCCTGGGGGCGGGGCCAAGCGTGCAAAGGTGTGGGGAAGACTCCCGCTCCCATTCTGCACCCGCTCCACCTCCCCCCCCACACCTCCACTCTCAGCCGGCCTTCCTCTTGCTCCGCCTGCTCCTTTGGGGGTCCCAGATACGTCTTTTTCACCTAGACCACACAGGCCAGGACCCGGTTCCGGCCTACACCTCCCCAGTGCTCTCCAAGGGAAAAAGATGCGGCCGCTTCCCTGCAACGTCCTCTTCCCAGCTGGGATAAGCTCACGTTTGGAGGGTCCAGACTCCGCTCGGGGCTCATTGGAGGGCGGAAGATGGCGGAAGAGGGGAGCTGAGTGCCAAGGATACGAGGGCTGGGGAAGAGCTAGCTCATTTGCCCCTGGGCGCCCAGGGGCCCTCTAGTGGCCACAAGGGGAAGGGGAAGGGGCGGGGTAAAACCGGGAAGAAGCCTCGGCAAAGCTGGAAGCGACCCCCAGATGCTGCAGCACTGGAAGGATTCTACCCAGGATTCCTAGCCGATCACGTCGATAGAAGACCCTCCATGGTGTGCGAGAGGCAGGTGGAGGAGAGGGGTCCTGGCGAAGTGGTCGGAGGAGCCGCCCGCACTCATCTGGCTATTTTAGTAAAGATCTTGGTGGGGTCCTGAGTTCCCGCAGCAACGCTCAGAAGCGCGCGGGAAGAGGGGTGTGGCAGTCGCTGCCCCCACGCCGGGGCGTGGACCCCCAAGGCCACCACGATCTTCCCGATCCCCGGCGTCCCTACTTGCATCTCGTTTGCACAGGAGTTATTCCCCCTTCGAAAGGCAGAAGTCCCCAACCCCTTTCTCAGTTACTGCCAGCCGAGACTTTTTACTCCGGCCTTTGGCCGTTCTTCCGGCCGTCCTCCCGCCCCTCTGGCCGCCGCCCCCAGGACCTTCCGTCCTTCACCCGTGCCAGCTTCTCGGCCGCCACCCACCACCCGATCCCAGCTGGGTACGAGCAGCCGAGACACCTGCGCCGCCTGCCGGTTGGCCGGAGGGAGGCTGAGGGCAAGGGGTTCTGTTTCGCCTTCTCCGGGACGTGGAGTTTTGGAAAATGTTCCCCGAGCTTCCTGAGGCTAAATTTATCCCCCCCCGGCCCTGGGGGGCGCAGAGATCCCGGAGACGATTAGCGCTGAGGCGCAGCGGGCTCCCGCCCAGAGGCCCGGAATAGGCGCCGAGTTATAAATAGTGCGCCCGCAGGTGTGGGGGGAGTCGGCGGGAGGGGGCAACCCTGGCAGCCACGGCCCCTTCAGGTGGGTTGGGCGGTCGCGGTGGGGGCGCCGGGGGGCGGCGGGCGGGGGGGGGCTGCGGTCTGTGCGCCCCCAGTGGTTTCCTGGGCGGCGGGTTTTTCGAGGGAAGCGGGGGCAGCCCGGGGAAGGGGGGGAGGTGGGGGAAGAGGTGGGCGCCCAGCGCAGGCTGTCGCTCCGCTTCCAGCTCAGCCCCCCACCCCTTCCAAAACAGGCCCCCAGACCCACTCATTCAGGACCCCGCCCACACAGAGCCGTGCCTTTCTTCCCCCAGAAGCCCTCTCCCTCCACGCGCGGCAAGCATCTAACTCTCCCGCAGCTGCCCCTGAGCGCACGTGGCCCAGCCAGTCCGGGCACCTGGCTGTCACTCAGAATCGCTGTCCCCAGCCCCAGGTACACAGTCCTCCTGAGGAGGGATTAACTCCTGCCACTTTCTCCTCTAAACTAAGGTCTAGCTGGTCGCCTGAGATTTAAGTCTGTACGTGCGGG